TATAGCTGATAAAAAGTGCATGTTTATTGAAGCATTAAACGGTTCGCATATTAAACAGCTGCGTAAATTTCTGAGAAAGGGGGAAGTGAAGGGGAAACAAAGTGGAGATCAACGATAATAAAATTCTGTTAGCAAGAACAACCAGTTTTAAATTTTCGATATTTGCAATAAGAAATCACTCGATGTACAGAAAGAAAAGAAAGCAAATTGTGAAGCCGAATGCGAAATTGAGACAAATAAATCAGCATTTGCGAACAGCATCATAAAAATTCAATAAACCCAACTTCTGAAATACAGCCGAAAAATTGTCAATTAGTGCAGCGGGTTCAATAACTTCGCCGTGGAATATCTAAACAGCTGACAGATCCTCATGCGTCATATGACAAAGCAGAGAATGTAAAGAAAGAGAAACGCAAGAAATGCCAAGAAACATTGAACTTGAAATTTAACATAGAAATTTTTTAATAAACAACAAAAATGCTGTCAGCGATAAGAAACGTTCAACAAATGGTTAATAGCTTAGGAAAGGAAATAAAAAACGAATAATGCAACAAAAAGAAGACATTGGAATACCCTGATGAATATTATAAGCATTTATTTATATGCCCCATTAACTTTATGCTCAAGTTCTGAACTAATTAAAGATTGTTATTAAAATTTATATGATAGTTTTTTTTTTCGAGTCTTTGTGTATGTGGTCTGGGTATCCCAAGCTTTTTTTTTTCGAGCCTTGGTGTATGTGGTCTGGGTATCTACAGGTTATTTCAATCACTATGATGTTGAGCATATCCATATTACAGAACATTTTTATACGCTGAAGCCATAGAAAATTGCTAATCAGGGTTTGTGGAAATCTATATAACAGACAAAAGGACGCCCTATATTATCGATAAAAATCGATCAGTTGACTTCGTATTGAGGTTTTACTTTTATATACCTCAAGGATTACAGACTTTAAGAGTAGCATTACTTTCTTAGCACATATTACATATATCCTTCAACTCAATTCTTCATATCAAGTTCAGAATACAATTAAAAAGATGATCTTTTTTGGCTACACATCTCAAGTATTTGAGTATATTATTACTGGGTATATAACAGGTATTTTTGTTTATAGGTCAATGTGCTATTTTATGCCTGAGTCGGGTATATAACAAAAAAAAAAGTAAGAAATAAAATGAAATAAAGCAAATGTTGCCTAAGCCTCCACCATCGAACATCGAGCGTTGACACCTTCTTCCAGCAGGCAAAATATCCTAAACAATACATAACCGAATCGCAAACACAGTTCATTCACAGACGGGAGAACAGATGCGGACAAATGGGTCGATTAGCCAGATAAGGGCTTAAGAGATATGCCTAAAAGTCGATGAGACGGTGTCGCAATGACAGAACAAAAGTGAAAAAAAAAAAAAACAACAATATGAATAAAGTGAATAGCGAGCCCAACGAAATGTTTATTTACCCAAAAATTAGGGTCAGGGCTAGAGGCAAATG